CACAATACCTAATGTAAATTTAACTCCTGCCCTGACATGGCCTCTTAGATGATCAACACAGATACCTTCGACTACAAGGTGTGGGAAGGTTCTTCCATTTCTCTCCAGAAGAAACAAAATACAGTGAAACAGGTGGTGTCTCCAAAGAACTCAAAGTTCTATGGTAAAGGGCAAGAAGAGTTATCCGTTCAGAATCTAACAAGATATACATATTTGTCCACAGCTCCTAAGAAATTGTTGTGAATTCTTATTTGAAATATCATGTAGAGGACCTTGAGGGAAATCCCACACACAAGGTCCAAATTAGAGATGAACAGATAAAATTGCCTCACTATATTTGACTCTTGGGGAAAGAAGTACTCACTGAAGCAGGCATAAGGGAGTTCACTCTTAAAGGAGTAATGATAACCAAAAGGCAGTTATTAAGAGCTTACTGGCTCATAAAACTCTTATCTTTTGAATTTACCTTGTGGAAAATATGATTCAGTGTTCATAATAAACTAAGCTGAAGGGTAAGTGTGATAACAAAAAATCTTGTGCTATTTCAAGTCCTAGAATACTTCAAGAACACCAAAAACATTCTAATATTTTCACTCTGTGAAGACAAGGAAATGTACATGTCATCAATACCATTGGACCTGGGGAATGAAATATACTTTCTATAAATTTCAGTCTGTTTCCCAGATGCTATGGTACCAGTATTCCACTCATGCAAAACTCTCACAATATCGTAAAATAAACATTCAATGTTTGTTTTACATTCAACTGTTTATAAACACTGATCCCAAGTTTATTTCTTACATTTCCAGCTCCATTTCTTCAATGCCTGGTAGAAAATAAGTACTATGTGTTCATTAGTGAAATAAAGATGTGTGAATATTTACAAGTGTTGTTAATTGGTTCTATTTATGTTAAATTCACTTAGACTCAGATCAGCTACTTGTATGTAGAAATGATAAGAGATACTTGGACTTCAGAAGTGTCTCTTGTAGATCAAACTGATCATCAATTTCCCTGATCACAATACTTTTATGAATTTATTGGTTCACAAAACTCCTTATCTTTTGAATTTGCATTGTAGAAAATATGACTCAGTGTTCATAATAAGCCAAGCTGAAGGTTAAGTGTGATAACAAAAAGTCTTTTGCTATTTCAAATCCTACACTATCTCAAGAGCAAAAAACTACCCTGCAATACCTTGTAATTAATAATCCAAAGCACTTACATATGCAGACAAATGAAACTGAAAAACAGGTAAATAAAATTAATAAAGATTTCAGAGAAAATAATTTCAAATAGTCTGTTCATGCACAAAGATGGTCAAACAGAGCAGTAGTCAGTGAAAGACATACTAAATCCTCAATAGGTTTCCATTGCATATAAACATATAGGAAAAAGTATTTTTGAGGATGTTATTTGAAGACAATAATAGATGTTTATTGGGAATCTTAGTCATTTTTAATAAACAATGTGACATTATAATGACCACTGAAAATGTGCATTGCTGTGGGCCATGCATTCCAATATCAGATTTATGCCCTCAAATTATTTTATTGAGTGTAATTCAGAAATGTAATCGTATATATTTAGGGCATACATTATCTTTTAATATATATAGATATATATTTACTACAATCAAGTAATCATCTTACAGTCATCATCTTACATAATTGTGATGATTCTTAATTTCCTTTGCTTAGAAATATTTTATGATAGCATAAGTCAAAAATATCCTTAAACAAAATAATGTGCTTAGCATCTCACTCCTAGAGAGATTAAAAGAGCTGAGTGAACCCTATTCTAGAAAATTTCTTGGTATTTCTATACATTAGTACATTTTTGAAAATAAAAAGTTCGCAATGTTATATATGGTGTT